GGCCGTCTCGTTACCCCGACACCGAAGGTCGTCCAGGAAGATGGGTCCAGCCCCCTCCCCAAAGAAGGCGCCTCCGGGGGCAGCCAGCGCACCCCCACAGCCCAGCTCCCGGCAGGCCACAGTGGCGTCCCGCAGGTCCCACGCATCATCACACACGGTCCCCCAGCGCCCGCTGTGCCACACCTCCAGGCGGCCGGCGCACCCGTGGGGGCCGTCAGCCAGACGCAGCCGGGGGGCCGGGCCTGGATGTGGGGAGAGGGAGGGGAACAGACAGACGGGAGGCTGCGATGGATGAGCGGCGTGAGCTCCTTGCTCAGGCAGCTACACGTGCGCAGGTACCGAGCTATCCGTGGGGCTGGGCTGCCTGCCCACGATGACGCTGGACAGCAGCTGTCCCACCTTCCGTTTGCCGATGAGGAAAAGGCTCCAGGATGGGAAGTCACTCAGCAAGAGTCCAGCTCTGATCTGTCCACCTCCCAATGCCCCTGCCTGCCCGGGGGCAAGCCCTGGGGACACTGGCCCTGATCCCACTCCCCGGCTGCCTGCCTCAAGCCTGTAAAGCAGGGCTTCTCAACCTCAGCACCACTGACCTGGGGGGGACACGGGTCATCCCTTGCTGTGGGGGGGGCATCCTGTGACTGTAGGATGTCCCGCGGAATCCCTGAGCTCCACTCCCCACATGTGATTAGCATCCACAGTGTGACAACCAGGCACCTCAATAGGGATTGCTTCTTTTCCCCAGCAACTTAGCCCTCCCTCGAGCCTCAACTTACCTCCCATGACCTGGGCTCTGAAGGCCCTGCTTCTGCCCCTATGTCCTGCCCGTGCCGTGCAGCACTGTCCCCAGCCCTCTGCTCAGTGCCCCAACCCGAGTGGGTGGGCTCCGCCCCCACCCCACCCCACGCTTCAGATGCCCGGCCCACGCAGCAGACCTGTCTGCAGCCGGACAGACCCGGCTGGCCAAGTTCTGGGTCTGGGGCTCAGTCTGTGATCTGGGCCATTTGGGTTCCTTCTCTGAACCTCATTTCCACATCTGGGAAGAGAGGGGTGAGAACAGCCACCCCAGAGGCTGTCCACGTGGGAGTGAGGCTCAGAGACAGCAGGGGAGGTGCCCAGCACGCTGCTTGGCACAGAGCAGGGACTCGGGTGGACATTTGTCCTCTTCCCCTTCACATCAGCCGCCTGAAGCATTGCCCGCCTCCTGCCCACCCCCCCACCCCCCGTCTAGTAGGCACCTACTGTCTGCCTGCAGCCCCTGTGCCTTCCCACCCACAACTATGGGCAGCCCCTGCAACCGCGGTGTGCCTGCTGGGTCCTGCAGCAGACCCACTGGAAGTCCATGAGAGTGAGGACTGTGTCTCATGCTGTGTCTGCAGGCCAGGCAGGGATGGTGCTTCAGGGGTATTTGTGGGAGGGGGAGAGGGGGAGGGAGGGAGGGAAGAGGGGAAGGGAGGGAGGGAAGGAGGAGCGAAGGAAGAGGAGGGAGGCGGGAGGAAGGCCGGCGGAGAGCCGGGTAAAGCAGGTGCACTGACCGCAGCAGGCGGGCAGGGGCGCACCCAGGGGGCGGGTGAAGCGCGGGGGGCGGGCGGTGGACATACCGGTGCAGACCAGCCCTGCGTCCTCGCTGTGGTCACAGTTGCTCCGACCCCAGGGGCTTCGGGGACAGTCCCGCAGAGCCTGCTCTCCGCCTCCACAGCCCACGTCATCCATCCACACGGGCCCTGAGCCCGGGCCAAATCTGGCGCCTCCGGGGGCGGCCAGCGCGCCCCCACAGCCCAGCTCGCGGCAGGCCACGGCGGCGTCCCGCAGGTCCCATCCGTCGTCACACACCGTCCCCCAGCGGCCACCGTGCCACACCTCCAGGCGTCCAGAGCACCCGTGGGGGCCTGAGACAAGGCGCAGCCTCTCTGGGGGCGGGGCAGGGAGGGAAGGGGTGGTGAGTCTTGTGCGAGGCAATTTGGGAAAAGCGGATTCAAACACCCTTCATTTTCCATCTGGGAAAACAGCCCCAGAGGGAGCAGTGGCCTGAGATCCAGGGAAGGAGCGGCCACCTGGGGCCCCTGATGGGGTGGGGGTGGGCTAGGGGCACAACAGGAGCCTGGGCCCCACTGAACCCCAAGGGACACAGTGCACGCTGGGGTCCCCAGGTCAGTCCAGGATGCACGGATCGTACCCTGTCGGGGGGCTCCAGCCGTCAGCACAGGGGCCCTGGTGGATTTGGGTTGCTTGAACGGCCGCGGGCTCTTCTTCCTGGAGTTGTTCTGTGGGGTCCCAGCTGGGCGGGGGGCTGGGAGAGACAGCAGGCAGAGCGCAGTTGGTGGGGAGCTGTTCATCCTCCCGCCGGGGGGCCTGGACTGTGCTGCCTGAGAGTCCCTGAGGGTGTGAAGGGGGCTGTGACAGGGGCCCCTCCAGGTGGTGAAGCCAGTGTCCCCGTCTGTCCCCTGGGAGATATCAGTGCAGAAGTCCCCTCACAGCTGGAAGCGTGGCCAGGGCAGACTCACCGTGGGTCACAGGAGGCTCCTCAGAGCCAGGGCTCAGCTCCCCAGACAGCCCCGGCCAGGAGTCCCCCTCCAGGATCGAAGGTGGATCGTCCCCGTCCCTGGAGTTGGCCACACGCTGACCTGCGGGACGGCACAGGAGCTTGGCAGGGGCCCCCCCCCGGACCGAGGCAGGCACCAGCCCCCCCAGGCAGTGGTCAGCTGGGAGTCCCAGAGGGAGACACCTGGTTTTGGAGGGGGTGTCAGGGGTGGGGGTGCCTGGACTTCTGGATCCTCCGAGTCCCTGGGTCACATCTGTAGAAGCGCCCCCGGAGGGTCCAGGGCCCCTCACCTGCACAGACGACGCCCGCGTCCTCCTCGTGGGAGCAAATGTGGGCCTTCCAGCCGCGGTGGGAGCAGAGCCCCAGCTGCCCCTCACTGCCCCGGCAGGCCAGCTCACTCAGCCACACGGGCCCCGCGCCCTCCCCGAAGAAGGCGCCTCCGGGGGCGGCCAGAGCACCCCCACAGCCCAGCTCGCGGCAGGCCACAGCGGCGTCCCGCAGGTCCCATCCGTCGTCACACACCGTCCCCCAGCGGCCGCCATGCCACACTTCCAGGCGGCCGGCGCACCCGTGGGGGCCATCAGCCAGACGCAGCCGCTCTGGGGGGACAGAGGAAAGGCTGGGACATCCAGGAGGCCCAGGGCCCAGGAAGGGCAGGGCCAGACACTGGCCTGCAGCGTGTGGTGTGAGGCCAGCCGCCCTGGCCGCTGCCGGGGGGCCCCAACTCCTGGGTTCCCAGGAGAGCAGGGGCCCCACAGGAAGTGGGAGGTTGGTCAGCGGTGGTTCTGGGGGGAGCAATGCCCGAGGTCATAGGTGCCCGCGGGGCCCCTGGCGTCCCCCTGGAGGGTGAGACTGGGCAGGGGTGGGTTGGAGCTGGGCAAGGCCAGACAGAGGTGCTCAAGGCCACTTACCAACAGCCTGGATCCCCATCAGAGCCACTGGAAGGGAGGTTGGAGGGGTAGGGTAGAGTGAGGGCAGGCCCCAAGGGCGTGCTTTCTCCTTGTCTTAAATACTCACACACACACACACACACACACAGAATCTGCACAGCTCTGAACCAGAAACCCCACCGCTGGGAAGCAGGACTCTGGGCAGTGGACTGGGCAAGACTCAGGTCCCTGAGACGGGCGGGGCCCCACATGCCTGGGGTCAGGGCTGGGAGCCAGGCCCTTTGTGCTCCCCCAAGGGCCTGGTTAATGTCAAATGGTGAGTGACCCCCCCTCGGGGTCAGGGCCGGTGGGGGGGGCGGGTAGTCCCTGGGGTCCTCAGAGGGTGGGACTGGGTGTGCAGAGGCTGGGTCCCTTGGGGGATCAGGCAAGGAAGACCAGATGTCCCTTATCACAAGCACCAGGGACAAGGCCCCGGAAGTTGGACTTGCTTAAGGGTATGAGCTCAGGGGTCAGAGGTCCCTGAGTCCCCAAGAAGAGGGGGTCACTCACCGATAAGACAGGCCCAAACCCTCATGTTTGCAGACTCCAGGGCAGGGATGGGGTGAAAGGGGACTCGGAGCAGAAGAGGGGAGGAGGCTGCGGCCACCGGAGGGAGGGAAGGAGAGAGGGAGGGAGGGAGGGAAGCGCCTGCCAGAGGCGCCCTGGACCGGGAAGAAGCAGCAGGCCGTGGCTGGACGCCTTGCCAGAAGGAAGAGAGGCTGCCTGCCGAGGAGGCAGCAGGGGACAGGAGCGGGGGCAGGGAGGGGGCTGGCCGGCAGCTGAGTTCTGAGGAGGAGGGGGGTGGCGGCGGGGAGGGAGGGTGTCCAACTGCAAACTCCCACGGGGAGCCAGGGAGCCGCCAGGCCAGGCGCCCTGCAGTGCTTAGAGATGCTGAGGGGAGGGTGGGCGGGCTGCAGGAAAGGGACCGGACAGAGGCACGCACGGGCAGCCAACCTCTGCCTCCTCTGTCCAGCCAGGGGACATGGTGAGACCAGGGTGGAGCGGAGGGAGCGTGCATTCAAACCAGCAGCAAGACGGCTTACAGCCAGACACCAGGAAGGACTTCCTGATTGGGAAAGGAGATGGAGGAAGCCCTCTTGGTTGGCCCTGGTGGGGCTGAACGCAAACCCTTCAGGCCTCCAGCTGAGGGAGCACTGGGTGAACCCCAGGGAAACTGGAGTGGGGGGGGGCAGGCGGACTAAGCGCTGAGTCCTGGGTGAGGGTGGGGGACTCCACACACACACACACACACACACACACACACACACACTCACTCATTCCCGCCCGCCCCCCACTCTGCACCAGGCAGCTGTGAGGTGGAAAAAATTCGGTAATGGGGAGCGTGAGTCAGAGGGCTGGCAGGGAGCGGGGCTGCCGTGAGCTCATTGCCTCCCCTTCTCCCTGTCCAGCACCCCCAGCAATAATTAATGGAAGGAAAAGCCAGACAGAAGGGGGAGGGAGGCTCAGGGACAGACTGGAAAAGACATCAGAGAGAGAGAGAGAGAGAGAGAGAGACGGCCGCACAGCAGTTTCAGGCTTTATTAACAATCGGGTGTAAAAAACCAGATGGGTCTGGCCGCCCCTCTTGGCCCACCTTCCGGGGAGGGGCCTGGCGTGGGCAGCCCTGTGCCCACCCCACCCTTGCCAGGGCCTCTCTCTGGGGGGACTACCCTCCTCTGCAAAGGCTCTGCTCATCCCCTCCAAGCAGTCATCAAACCCCTCCCCACCCCCAAGAGGGCCTTGTCCCCATTTGGGGTGCCCCTGCCCTAAGTCCTAACCCATGGGGCTGGGCCCCCTCTCCTCCTCCCCACATCTCTCTCCCGGGCTCAGGCCTGGAGCACAAACGGTGCAACCTTTGCAGACAGACCGAGGAGATTTCTCAGTGCAGACAAAATCTGGGGCGGGGAGCTGGACAGGTTGACCTCTGTGAAAAGTTCAAACACTACAGACAGACATCAGCCTGCAGTGGGGTGTCTTGCCCTCTGCAGGCCTGCCTCTGGGCCCCGGGCAGGCTGGGGATTCCCAGAGGGAGAACCCGTATACAGTAGTCGCTCACTTAAGTGCTCTCCCTCCTGCCAGGGTCCGGAGTCACAGGTCCTTGCTGAACTCCCTCACGAGGGTGTAGCCCATGCAGCCCCAGCTCCCCGCAGCCTGGTAGCCACACCCCTCCAGCATCCCCGCCACGCCCCACGCTGCCACAGCCACTGGGACCACAAGCCGGGCCCGGGGCTCCCCCATGCCTCCCGCCCAGGCCCGCGCCCGGGATTCGGCGAAGGCCAGCAACCGCCTGCCCACACCTCGGCGGCGGTGCCATCGAGAGACGGAGAGGCGGGTGACCCGGGCGCCGTCCCCAGCGTTGGAGCCTGGGGCCAGGGCCAGGACGCCACACACGTCACCCGAGCTGCGCACTGCCACCCAGGGGCCCCCCAGGCCGCCTGGAGGAGGCAGTGAGCCCCATCGGGCCCGCAGGCCCAGCTTCATGGCGGCCACGGCCAGGAACACGGGCAGGAGGAGGGCCAGGGCGAAGGAAGCCAGGACAAAGCGCAGGCCGCTGCTGGCTGCTGCGAGGAGGAGCAGGGCCGGCGGCCGGGTCAGGGCGTGGAGGGCCACGCGGTTCTCCGTGTCCTTCACACCAGCCTGCGGGCAGAAGGAGCCGTCAGAGCCGGGGGCCTGGGCCTTCCAGCACATAGGGCCCCCCCCCCCCCCCGGCCCCCATGCCATCAGACGTCGGGGAGAGGGGAGGGGGTGGGCGCAGGCAGGGGCGGAGGGGTGGGAGCTCCCAGAGGAGAAGGGAAGGCGGTGTGATGGGGCCTGCGGCCAAGGAACAGGCAGGGGACAGGACCAGTCTGCTCTAGGCTCCAGTAAGCACGGCCGTGAGCGAGTGAGGGAATTAGGAGCTGTGCCGCACACCCGATCCAGGGGAGCTGCAGGGAAGGCTGACGCCACAACAGGACAGAGGACTGGCCCAGTTCAGAGTAGGCGCATGCTCTGGACACCAGGAGGTGGCACTGGGGGGCGGGGGAGACGCAGCGCCAGGCTGCGGCCCAAGGGCTCCGCTGAAAGAGTGCTGGGGAGGAGGCTGGTGCAGGGGGGCGGGCTGAAGTCTGCAGAGGAGGGAGGGAGCTGGTGCCACGCTCATCGCACAGCCCTCCGGCTATTAAAACTTTTATTTTTAGTAATCTCTACATCCAAAGTGGGGCTTGAACTCACGGCCCCGCCGTCAAGACTAACCAGCCACGAGCCCCTAAAACCTTTCTGACCCTAGGGGTAGGGACAAGGCACTAGGAAAAGAAGGGACCGAGCCAGAAAGCCTGTTAGGAGGAAAAGATCAGGTTCCAGGAGTCCGGGCTGGCTCAGGCAGGTGGCTGGAGCCGCTCACGACGTGGTCCCGCCTGCTCTCACCTTCAGCATCTCCAGCACCAGGGGTTTCTCGTCTTCCCTCATCTCCCGCACTGACAGGTGGCCGGGGGCCATGGCAGCCCCCAGGCTCCCGCGCCCCGGAAGGCAGCAGGAGTGCACCTGGTGGAAACAAGCAGGCCAGCGTCAGTGAAGGGCACCTCTCGTCCCCACAGCGCCCCAGACATGGGGACCAGCAGCAGCATGGTCCAGATGGGGACACCGGGAACGCTCGGGTCCCCCGAGCGAGGTCCCAGGCAAGACGGGATTCACCCTCCACCCGCGACCTTTCTAAAATCTCCCGGACCCCCCCGCTCCGCCCGCCGCGGTGGTCAGCGAGTTCCCCCTAAAAGCCCTGCGGACGCCAGCACCCTGCAACCCGGGGTTCCCTCCCAGGCTCCGGGGCTGCCCTGGGGAGTCAGCGGAACTCCCACCCAACAGCCAGGGCATGGACCACGCTCCCGGCCCCCCAGGCGTCCCCGACCCCCGTCGCAGGAGCAGGCACCGCAGGAACCTCGGCAGGTCGCTTCAATCCTTCCACCAGGTGTGGGGGCAGCAGGGTCGGGAAGGGGTCGCCTGCGGAAGTGACGTCGCACCGCGCACGGAGGGGGGCGGGGTCCGCACCCTGCCTTAGCAACGGTTGCCAAGCGTCCTGGCTGGGGTGGGCGGGTGGCAGGACTCCGGGCGCGGGGCGGGGAGGGACCGGAGCAAGGAGCAGCGACCCCGCCAGGGTTGGGGTAGAGGGAGGAGACGCGAGCCGACGCGGGACGGGGCGGGGCCGGAGGGGATGCGGACGGCTGGGCGGGGCAGAACGGTCCTTCGCCGAGCCGCAGGGGAGAAGCGCACGTTCGCTTCCTGACCTTCCCTGGTTGCTAAGCAAGCTGCGAGGCGGGTGGGGGGCGGTGATGGGAGCGCATCAGTTCTCATTGGCTTGGGGGGCCTTCGCGGGAGGGGCCGCATCCTGGGCTCACTAGTCCCCAGACTCCCGACCCCAGGAACCTCCACTCCAACCCACCTGGGCTCTCTCTCAGGCACCTTCGGGATAAGGATTCCCACCCACCCATTTTTCAGATGCGGGGAGAGGTGGGGTGACTGAGCGCACAAGTGGCAGAACCAGGATTCTGGATCCCAGCTCCTCCCCACTACAGTGACCCCCGCAGCCCTTTTTTAAGGATAAACAGAACCTCACGTAGGAGAAGTGGCTGGCCCCAAACCGCAAAGTCAGTCACCTGAGAGCCAGGAAGCAAGAGATACAAGACTCCAAGCTCCCAAGCGGTGGCTATGGCCATGACATTCCCCCCACCCCAGCCGCCCCCAAGAAAACAAAACACGGGAGAGGAGATTCTGGTCTTTATTAGCAAGCCCAGCCGGCAGCTCCCCTCCCCCCACCCCCCAGCCCAGCCCAAGCAGTGAGTCCGGGTCTCCGTGTCGGGCAGAAGAGAACCCGGTGGTTCTACTCAAAATGTGTGCACCAGCTGGACTGCGGGCAGAGTCTGGACAATCTGGATGGAGGGCAGGCCCTGCGGGGTCATGCCTCCAGGTGCAGCGCCAGTGGGCACCACTTGTACCATCTGGGAGGGGGGAGCCGTGGAGATGCCCACTGGGGCAGAGGCTTGGCCAGGTGGTGGTGGGGTCAGTAGCTGCAGCGTGGCAGTGCCTCCCCCACCGCTGCTATTCTCGAGCAGTTCCGCGGCTGGCGCACTGCGGATAATGAGCAGTTTCTGTCCCGGTGGGCCTGGGGCAGGAGGCTCGGCCAGCCCCGGGGGTAGGGTCTCCACCTCCTGCACACACAGCTGGGTCTGCTCCCCATCTGCCCCGCTCAGCACCAGGACGCTCTGCAACCCCTCGTCTGTCTGCAGCGTCTCAAACAGCACATCCTGGACAACACCAGTACTGGCCTCACCATCACCTGGCTCCCCCGGGCCAGGACCCGCCAGCAGCTCCTCAGCTGTACCACTCTGAACCACCAGCAGATTGGGGGCCTCAGTGGTCACAGCTCCCCCACTGGGATTGGACAGCTGGCCTGCCACAGGCTGGAGCTGAACGGTGGTCACTTCCTGAGCCGGCTGGAGCTGGACGGTGGTCACCTCCTGGGCCGGCTGGAGCTGAACAGTGGTCACTTCGGGGGCTGGCCGGAGGGGCTGGAGCTGGACCCCACCCACTTCCTGTGCCCCTGCCTCCCCACTCCCTACATTCTGTAGAACAATGAGGCTCTGCCCTCCCCCGCTGGCCCCTGCGTTGCCCCCTCCCTGAACCCCCAGTCCCCCAGGACCTGGCAGCCACACTACTCCAGGCCCCTGACCAGATTTCCCTGCTGCCCGTGGGCCCTGCCTTCCGCGGCTGCCCCCAGCACCAGTACTGGAGGAGGGTAGTAGGATGAGCTTGGGGGGAGCCGGTGGGGGCGGGGGCGTAGGGGGTTGGACGCTGCTGGGGATAAGCTGGAGGCCCTGGGCGGTCTGCACCAGGAGAAAAGTCTGGGAGTTGGGGGCTGCCTGGCCTGGGGGCGGGGCCGGGGGCGGGCCCCCTGCCACCTCGAGGGAGAGCGTGGCCTGGAGGTGCGGGAGAACGTGGACGTCTTGGGTGGCGGATGGGGCAGGGGCGGCAGCCAGCGGGGCAGGGGGCTGGGAGCCGGCGGCGGGGGCTGCGGGGCAGGCAGCCGTGGGGGCGGGGGCGTGCGTCCTCAGGTGCCGCTGCAGGTAGGCCGCCATGACAAAGCTGCGGCCGCAGATCGGGCAGGCGAAGGGGCGCTCGGCCGAGTGCGTGCGCTGGTGCAGCAGCAGGTTGGACGAGTGCGTGAAGGTCTTGGGGCAGAGCGGGCAGCGGAAGGGCCGCTCGCCCGTGTGCACGCGCTGGTGCTGCCGCAGGTTGGAGGTCTGCGCGAAGCTCTTGCCGCACACGCCGCAGGCGTGGGGGCGCTCGCCCGTGTGCACGTGCCGGTGGCGCCGCAGGCACGACGTGTTCCGGAAGGCCTTGCCGCACTCCCCGCAGGCGTAGGGCCGCTCGCCCGAGTGCAGCCGCAGGTGGTACTGGTAGTGCGAGGACCACTTGAAGGTGAGGCCGCACTGGCCGCACGTGAAGGCCCGCAGGCCCGTGTGCACGCGCTGGTGGATGGCCAGCAGCGACGAGCGCTTGAAGGCCTTGCCGCACTCGCCGCACTGGTAGGGCCGCTCGCCCGTGTGGTCCCGCAGGTGGTAGCGCAGCCCCGAGGAGCCCTTGAAGGCCTTGCCGCACTCGGCGCACTTGTAGGGCCGCTCGGCACAAGCCGGCGCAGGCGCGGGCGGGCCGGGGGCTGCTGGGGCCAGGGGCTCCTGCGGACAGGTGACCTCGGCGGCCTCCGCCTGGGGGGGCGGGCGCCCTGCCGCCGCCTCTTCCACGTGGCACTGCTGGTGCGCCAGGAGGCTGGCCAGCTGCGGGAAGGCGCCGTCACAGCTGCCACAGCGGAACGCCTGCCCGCCGGCCGCCCCGTGGTTGTGCTGGTGGCGAGCGAGGCCGGCCACCGTCCGGAAGGACTTCCCGCACGGGAGGCAGGCGAAGCCCGGGGCGGCGGCGGCCGGCGGGGGCTGCGGCGGCGGGGCCGGCGGGGACTGGGAGGGCGGCGGGGCGGGGTCCGCCTTGGGCGCCGTGGTGGCGTGCCCGTCCCGGGGCGGGGTGGCTGCGTCGGGCCCGGGGCAGGGCTGGTGCTCGAGGAGCAGCTCCTCGCTGCCGAAGCCCAACTCGCAGCCCTCGCAGCGGTACACCAGCTCCACCGTGGTCTCCGCCGCGGCCAGGAAGAGCTCGGGCACCACGGGCGGGGGCGCAGGCGGCGGCGGCGGCGGCGGCGCGGGCGCGTGCAGGTAGGCGTCCGACACCAAGACCTTGGCGCTCGGCTCGTGCTGCGGCGGGGCGGCGGCGGCGGCGGCGGCGCCGTGCGTGCGCTGGTGCAGCAGCAGGTTGGACGAGTGCGTGAAGGTCTTGGGGCAGAGCGGGCAGCGGAAGGGCCGCTCGCCCGTGTGCACGCGCTGGTGCTGCCGCAGGTTGGTGCTCTGCGTGAAGCTCTTGCCGCACACGCCGCAGGTGTAGGGCCGCTCGCCCGTGTGCACGTGCCGGTGGCGCCGCAGGCTGGACGAGTTCTTGAAGGCCTTGGGGCAGTCGGGGCACGGGTAGGGCCGCTCGCCCGTGTGCTGCCGCAGGTGGTACTGGTAGTGCGAGGACCACTTGAAGGCCAGGCCGCACTGGCCGCACGTGAAGGCCCGCAGGCCCGTGTGCACGCTGCGGTGTATCTGCAGTAGCGAGGAGCGCTTGAAGGCCTTGGGGCAGTCAGGGCACTGGTAGGGCCGCTCGCCCGTGTGGCCCCGCTGGTGGTAGAGCAGGGCGGACGAGCCCTTGAAGGCCTTGGGGCAGTCGGGGCACTTGTAGGGCCGCTCGCCCGTGTGCGTGCGCTGGTGGTGGAGGAGCCGGGATGACCACCGGAACGACTTGCCGCACTCCCCACACTCATACTGGGCTGTCGGGGCAGGGGCTGCGGGGCCGGGCTTCTCCCCAGGCCCCTCGGTGGTAGAGGCCGGCGCCATGTCTGCGTGGGAGCCGACCATCACACCTGGCGGGGGATTCCGGGTCAGGGGAAGGCAGGAGCTCACCCAAACACCCCACCTTCTCAACCTGGACATACAGCTTTGCCCTTGAAGAGGCAGAGGATACCTCCCCAGCCCCCCCCCCCCCCCCGGGATAGAGAGACTCCCTTAGGGTCAGGGCCCCCAGTGGTCCAGGTCTGCCCCAATGCAAGGCTTTAGGTGCTGAAACAGAAAGTTCTGGCAAACTGGGACGAGTGCTCACCAGCCATGGATGCTGCCCGTCCCCTCCAGGAGGCTACACAAGTCTGAGAAGGCTGTGCGTGGTCTTTAGGAGGTCAAGCACTTCCCTCAGGACTAAGCTCCTTCCCTCTACAGATAGGTACCGCCCTGGAAGAAGGCTGGGGGTCTCTCTAGCACCCTGGCTTCTGATCCTTGACCCTTCTCCCTCTGAAGTCTCATCTTCCACCCTGCCTCAACACCAGCTCCCATTGCCGCGATAACTAAAGCCCTGTGTGCATGCCACTCTCCACCCCCCCATCCTGCTTGCCTGCTCCCTCTTGTGTATTAATCAGAGATCCCTAACCTCCAGCAGACCCATTATAGCACTGCACCCTCCACCCCATCCACATCCTCACTTCCTGCCTGGCTACAGTCTCCCCCCCCCTTTTTTTTTAATTTTTAATTTTAAGATTTTATTTTAATTTTTAAAGATATATTTATTTATTTGAGAGAGAGAGCACAAGCAGGAGGGGCAGAGGGAGAGAGAGAGAGAATCTCAAGCAGAGTCCGCGCTGAGCATGGGGCCTGATGCGGGGCTCCATCTCATGACCCTGAGATCACGACCTGAGCTGAAACCAAGAGTCGACTACTCAACCGACTGTGCCAGCCAGGCGCCCCAAGATTTTATTTTTTAAGTAATCTCCATGCCCAATGTGGGGCTTGAACTCACAACTCCGTGATCAAGAGTTGCGCGCTACCGACTGAGCCAGCCAGGCGCCCTTGGATTCAGTCTCCCTTTGCACTCACACCCATGCATCTCAAAGTTCCCTGCACTGCTCACACTGCACT